TTCTTATACACAGTTTTTCTCTTTTTTTTAAATGTCTGGAATATAGTGGACATAATACTTTTGGAAAAGTGTAGTTTGCTATATTTTTTTCTCTCAGTAACAAAGAGCAAAACTGTTAGTTTTTTGACCAAAAGCTTTGTCCGAATAAGGTTTGTGTTACATATTAAAGCAAATGCTAGCACGTAAAATTGAGCAACTATCTGTACAGTTGTTGTTGCAATTGCAGTAGTAAATATATTCATTTGAGTCGATAAACCTAATTATTTAAAACTTTTAATAAAAAGCGTTCTGATACCCTCCCCCCCCCCCCCACTTGCCCGATCTAAATATGCAAAAACAAAAACATACAAAAACACTCCAAAGCAAAACAAGTCAAGGAAACAAATGTTTGTCTATTTAAATTACTATAGGTCACTGACTTTCAGCTCATAGCAAGAAGTAATGTCATTCGTTTTGAAGAAAGATGTTTCACTGGTTATTGGTTGAGATTTTAGCGAACTTTCATCCCATTAAATATCGAAAACATACCTTGTTATAACACATAAAAGAGAAAATAAACCGTGGAGGGTAAATGCAAATAAAAGTGAGTTAAAACTCAAAAATCGATGTTTTAACTCTTTTTCCATAGAATAATGCCATTGTTCACAATAATGATAAAATACAGGGTTGATGAAAATTAATTGATTTCGTTTCTGGCAAAAATGTTTGATAGAGTCATATGAACATTTACAAAGCAAAATTCTCGATTTTGATGTTGTTTTTGAATAAGAAAAAATACTCCTAATGTTTTTGTCCACATTAGCATCGATCAGAAGTCTTTTTCAGTTATTGAACTTTAAATGGAATATTTCAATGTGCTTTAAATATATATATATATATATATATATATATATATATATATATATATATATATATATATATATATATATATATATTAATTTTTAATTTTAATGCCTTTTAAATTTTTGTATACCTAATGTATTATATATATTTTGCATATCTATTTTTTCATCTTTTAATTAAGGGGCTATATAAGCTTATTGACATGTCATTTACATTGTGCGAATAGTTGTTTGATCCCCTAACGGAATATGCGTATTTTTCTTGTGTTCGCCATCTTTTTATAACTGACATATTTAATCACTACATTGGTGTTGATTTAATTGATTCTAGCACAGAAAAAAATAGACTTGCGGTGATATTTTAAAGCATGAGGAAACACTAAAATCTATTCATAAAACACTTCAAGATTGCACCCTAATAACACACAAAGAATGTTTTCAAATTCGCAAACCCCTAATGTCATGATAAAAAGTGAGTGCTTTACCGTTCTGAAATTGTTTAGATATATTTATTTTACGCTGAAAAAGATAAACAATGGGACAAAGTTAGGGGAAAACATTCTAATATTATTTGCACAAGATCTAGCCTAGTTTCAACCTAAATAGCGTAAATCTGTTCATTGAAATATGGAAATAACGAAAACTATTTAAGCTCATAGTCCATTTAAGCAATACAAACCGGGAGCAGAGCGAACACGGACTTCCAAAAACAACAGAGGCGGGATCAGGTGCCATGAAGAAGAAAGCGTCCCCTGTTGACCTGTCACATCCGCCGTGTTCTTTTTGTCATGATCAAGTAAACGGAAAAATCCATAAAAATTCCAGTGTGTAAATAATGGCCTAAAATTAGTATAAAAAACATCAGTCAGCATTTGACCTAATGATAAGTTGAATTTGCTGATAAGGTCATTGTATCAACCAAAGGACTTCCAAAATGATTTTAAACGTGACTGTTGATATGTATCCTTGTTTCATCAACTTGTTGCATGGTTAATACCTTGCCTCATTTTAAAAATTGATCCTACATAGAGCATGCCCTTGCGTATCGTATCAACTGGAAGACACAAACCCCATATGCAGGTGACAAAAGTTGAGGTCATCACGTTTCTCATAAAGTTTTACTGTAAGGTTACAATTTCTAGTAAAATATCCAAATATGAAACATATGTATCCGACTTTTTGGTGTCTTTTATTTCAAGTTCACTAGAATATATCGAATCGACATATGAATGGAAGTAACTATTGTTAATTGATAATACGTGGTCGACATATCTAAATGTCGGAATGAAAGCCGCAACAATCGTTTTTCTCTTTCTCAGGTGTACGTTTTTGAATAAATTCTGCTTCATACTTGAAAACACTCAGGTTTTATACCACATTACGGCACATATTTAACGAAACTAGATGGTCTTGGCTTTTTAGATACTTTATCTACCTCCGTAAAAAGAAGAGGTAAAAGCTACATCTGATGTGGAATTAAATTAATAATTAAATTAGATACAAGTGTTTTTAAGCTGCAAAAATATCAATTGTGATGGGTAAGGTAAACTGATACTGTCTATCTTCGTTTGTTTACCCAAAATGTGAATATAACTAACAATTATCATGTTCAATAGTATCATTAAACAATATAAATTGTGACCATAGCAAAAGGACCTATGAAATCAGGAGTGGGATCAGGTGTGATTGAGGAGAAAGCTTCCCTTATCGACAATTCACACCTGCCTTGTGCCCCTTGTCTTGATCAGGTAACGTAGGAATCTGTTCAGTATGAAAACAATGACACTTTATTTGAAAGACGTCAGTCGACATTCGACCTAACACCAGATGATATTTGAATCGAGAAATGATTTATGAAATTTTTGTTTTAAAAGAGATTATTGAAATCATTGAATTAATTCTTCAGTACGCAGCCTCGTTTAAGAACGTGTTTATATGTAGAACATGCCATTGTGTATCGAATCAAACCACATATACAGGTGATTATGGTATAGTGCCCCAAAAATAAGGGAAATTGACGATTTAGATTCCTTACATCCAAGAGAGGTATAATTGTTGACTAACATGTATATATAAGAAACTCAAAATCTTCAACATCCAAATCCCAGAATGATAACGCTTCTTTAACAAGGACAGTTTTAAAATCCAAGAGACTGCAGTGTAACTAAAGGTCTACTCAATGGCTCTATACATATATATAATAAATTATTTGATTCCTTTTTTATCAAAGGTATGAATGCGATTACTGAAAATTTTATATTCTCCTTGTTTTCCCAATAGCTTTATATTTAGCAATTTAAATCAACGGTGCATAGTTAAATGACATAATTATATCATGTGATTTAAAAACGAAAGTTTAATTGCAAAAAGGAAATACCAAAGGATCGAGATAATTACTAATATTTTCCCCGGTTTAAAAAAAAGTATCTTAATGCATTTCTAGTACTTTGATCAAAATAAGATCTTAATTTTGTAAAAAAAAAAAAAAAAAAAAAAAATAAATAAATAAAATAAAATAAAATAAAAAATAAAATAAAAAAAAAATAAGGTAAATAAAATTTTAAAAATTAATTTGATTCCTTTTATTTTTCCATTTTTGCTTTAAAACATACATTCCCTGTGTAAGCATAATGTGTATTGAATGCATACAGTTAATGCAAATCATTGCCATCCCCTGATATTCATCACGCATCGCTATAAAAGTCAAGGTCTCGAAAATCAGGGGAAATTTTTAAAATCCAAAAACCAGTAAAACTTGGTTTCCTTGTGTTTTAAATTGATCATTTAAATTTATCAGGGCATTGTTTACTTTTCTTCTCACTACAAATATATTTGCAAGACAAAAGTGTTTCGAAAAAAGTTCTGAGAGAGTTTTTTCAAACAATTCCAAGCAATTTGTTTTTACGTAGAGCAAAAAAAAAAAAAAAAAAAAAAAAAAAAAAAAAATCTGCTCTGAATAAATAGTCGATGCAGAAGCATATACATCTAACTACATGTAACTGTAGTATAAATGTTTTGAATAGAAGTTCTTTAATATAGAACTTAACCGTTTAAAAAGAAAATCAAATACTTCTACATTTACTATGATAAAAACAGTATGTTGCACTAATTATTGAATGGCCCTCGTAGAGTGCATTAAACTAATATATTTTATTTTGATGTCTGCGAAACGTGAACTGAAAGGGGAAAAACAGGAAAATTTATTTCACATTTTTTTGGTTTCAAAACAATTTTGATTTTTTTAAAAATATTTTTCTATTTGTGAATATACTGTTATGTAGAATAAATTTCTGTACCTAAATGCAGTGCCCAAGACATTCTTACATTTTTTTTAAGTAAAGAGGAGGCACCGTAATAATTTAATACTAGATTGTTATGTTTATCATATCTATAAACCAGGTAAGGTATGTTCGGATCTGCATTTTCCGTTATGAAAAGTTTTGTGGTTTCTATTAAGCATTTTTTGTTTAAAAAAAAAAAAAAAAAAAAAAAAAAAAAAAAAAAAAAAAAAAAAAAAACGAAAGTTTTTCATTCGTCTTAAAATATAATGTATTACTTTTGAAAGTGGCTATTTTCTTTTTATTCCAATGTGATGGCAATATTCAATCCTTTCTGCCAAAATTAATGAAATAAACTTGGTATTCATTTTTAGAACAAAAACTTACACTATCTCATCATAACATAAATTACTCGACAAATCAGGTTCACACCAAACTCTCATATAGATATATTGATGTATGATTGCAAATCTAAATGCATGGTCCCATCAATCGCCATCATAATTCGTCCATAGACTTCGTAATCTAGAACAACAATTGTACTAGAAAGGCGTGCATTTATGTCATACTTCCTTATATAGTTCTATTGAATATAAATTCATAGATCAAAAGACCTCAATCAATCTTACATTTGGTGTAAAAATGCAATTTGTCTCAAAATTTTGAAGGATATATACGGAAAATTCACATGTCATGGTTTGGTTGACTTATGACGAAATAAATAGGTAACACATGCATAATTATTCATGTTTTAAAATTTATGTTTCTGACCAAGAAAAAAATACTTCCAGGAGACAGTCCCATTTATTGGTGTATGACTGGAATATAAAATAGCGTGACGTATTGATTGTGTCAATATAAAAAGAGGATTCTGACATTTGTTTCTATACTAAATAGGGAGGGTACCATCTAGGACTTATAAAACTGCTAATTTAAATTTGTGACTGATAAAAAAAAATGAAGGACTTATTCATATGCTTGCTTGTTCTGATTATCGGTATGTTTAATCTTTACCTTTAATTATCAAATATTAATTAAGCAAATTGAGAATTGGAAAATTCTTAATTTATCATGTGCTAATAATTTATTGTTCAGTTAGTAGCAATTTCATTTTGGTCTCTTCAATTATTTTAATTCTTTTTTCTTTATATATATATATATATATATATATATATATATATATATATATATATATATATAGATTACTTTGCTACCTAGTGAAATAAGTAATCTTCATATATAAATCCATAAAATACAAGAATTAGGAAAGTTTGAAACTTTTCAATGAACCATTAAAATTTCATTCAAAGTTTTTTAATAATCTTATTCCTCTTTTCTCATCTTTAATGGATTTTGAGTTAAAACTTATAATTGTATAATTAAACGTTCAGCAAAAAAGGTCATTAATTTTTTTCCTTAAATGCTTGAATGCACAATGTAAAATGCAGAGAATGTAGAAATAAATTTAAAAGCGTATGTATATTTTTCATTTTCGTAGGCGCTATTTGTCAAATTTAGACAGCTTATTTGTAACATGTCTGCTTATGGGAAATACTTCATCACTAACATGGCATGAAATGACATTTAATTTGCGTTAATATGTTAATCGGTTAATCCACACTTGATACTTGAAAACATCACATTGACGTACATTGACAAACAATAAAATCTCACTGTGGTAAATGTAAATGTCAGCGTGAACAATTAAAAATATGAACAGTGTTATATATGAACAATTTAAAAGAGTACCAATAGAAAACATTATTAAATTATATAGGTCCTTGTTATTTAAGTTATATGGTATGTTATATACTTCTAAACACTTACAAGACATAATTTATTGATGTCAGACACTTAAATGTAAAAAACAGTATTTTTCCAGTGATTAATGATTTGCTGTTTTAGTCAAAGTTTTTGAAAAGTTTATTAAGAAGCTATTGCTCTTTCGTTCTATTTGTCTTAAAAACACATAATTATATAAATTTATTATTATATTTTCAGTTGAAGTAATATCAGGTAAGTAGACATATTCTTCATTCTATTTTTGATTGATTTATCATTTGAACAGTTTAATCTTTACAATATTGATTTTTAAAAAATGATTATTTTTATTTATTGGTATATAATTAATTAAAATAGATTAATACGTGATTTTGTAAATTTTTAAAATATATAGACTTTTTAAAATATAATTTATCATTATTCGTATTTTTTACAATAAGAGCATATTTTTAAAGTTATAAAATTCATTCGACAGGTTCGATCATTTTTGACGCCATCCTTAACCTTGATTTAAGCGTAATTTAATTTCTCTCCTACTTTAAAGCTTACTACGTTCCGTCCTGGAACAGTAACCCATGGCAACAGAGGAGCTACTTTCCAAGGTTTAACCCACAAGCATACTTTCTGAACGAGTTTTACGATGAAGTTTTCGACTAATTACAATGTAAGCAGCAAGTCAATATTTAGTACAGAGGTTATACTGATTTTTGTTTGCTTGCTTGTTTTTAATTGCTTCGGGATGTTGTTGTTTTTGTTTTTGTTTTGTATATATCATATTATTTGGTTTTAATTTTGCCTAATGTTTTGCTTTGCTGAGTGTTGTTTTGCTTTTAATGCATTTATCATCTTTTAAACATTAGACAACTATAAAAAAAAAAAAAAAAAAACTTTAGTCTTTGGGAATGAATGTGTCTATAAATCAATCTCAGAGGAGTCAAAAACATTTTGGTCTTAATTTTTCTTATTTTGCTATGAGACCACTATGGATATCTGTACCTGTAAAGATTTGGTAAAGATATGTTTTTGGTAAAACCATGAAAAATTAATTGTATCTAGCTCTATAAGTCGCCCGCGTGGCGCAGTGGTTAGAGCGTTCGCTCTAGAGTCGCGGAGTAAGGAGTTGATCCTTACGTCCCGGGTTCGAATCTCACTGTGGGACGTGGAGACCTGTCCTTCGGATGAGATCGTATAAACTGAGGTCCCCTGTCGCAGTAGGTGCTGACACGAAAAAGATCCCTCACTGCTCAATGGCCCTGAGTGCCGAGTATAGGTCAAAATTTGCAGCTCTCCACCAGCAAGTGGTGGCGTCTCCATATGAGTGAAAAATTCTCGAGAGGGAGGTTAAACAATAAACAAACAAACAAACAAACATAAATCTAGCTCTATAACCTGTCATCTTGAATATATTTCTTATTTTTTTTTCAGGTTGCCTTCTTGGACGCCATTATTTTGTCCTATTCCCGTTGTTGATGTGGTCTCTTTTTTCTATAATGAATAAAATTAATAAAGTTTTGTTTTGTTCATTAAAGTCTTGTTTTTAGAAGTACTTGTACTTTACACTGCTAGAGATGTTACTCTGTAATCACATATGTATAGAAAAATATGATGAACACCACAACAGCATATTTCACAGCAGAGAATCTTTACAAAATGGCAAACCAAAATAACAGATGAAAGCAACACTAAAGGGGTAAAATTAAAAAGAAATGTGTTTTCATTCCTTGCTTTTGAAATATCGTTATATTTAAAAGTACATCTTGCATAAGTTGGGAGAATTTCAAAACTATTTGTAGCTGTGCACGGATAAACTATGTCTCTTACTGGTAAAATAAAATAAATCATGAATCTTTTGTTAATTTCTTTTCCAAAACTGATATCTTACCGAAAAGAATACCTGTATAAAATTTAGCAAAATAACCACTTAACATTCCAAATACACATCATGTTTAACAAAAGTAGAAAATAAAATAGGAAATATGATTAAAAAATATGATATAATGACATTCTATTCTCTCAAACATAGCTTATTTTTGTTCATCTTCGCTAGCCAAGGGTTTCTGATACGCTAAGTACTCTCCTCATAAGCCCTTGGCATACGGTGTTAAGAAAAGTTGGGATTTTTTTCTCAAGTTGTGATTGGAGTTGATCGACATCGATCGACCAATCAGCAATTGTTTTTTGTAAATGACGATATTTGCGTTCGGGATATATCTTGACTCTTTAATATCAGGAATAAAAAACGCAAGTAAACAACGATCCGTAAGATAACATACCATTCTATGAATAGCTATATGGTGTAATTCATTATCTTAAGCTACGTGCAAAATATGTTATTAAGAATCTATACTTAAGATGTAGATTTGCATTTTAACATGTTTAAATAACAAATACCTTCTTGTTAATTATTCTTTAAAAACTTTTTTTTTAATACGCTTTTTATTTCTGTCGATGACGCAATCGGTGCGCAACCTGGTAAGAATCGTGATCACGTGACGAAAACAATCCCGTCTTTTGTCAGCACCGTATGCCAAGGGTTTATGAGGAGAGTAGCGTATCAGAAACCTTTGGTTAGCGAAGATGATTTGTGTTGTAATGGTCATTTAACAAATTAGGTACATGCAGTGCACAAACAAAAATAAGTGATAATTTTCAATATCACATAAACATATTATGAATTGCGATATATTCATATCTCTAACTATGCATTATAATGGAGAAAATCAAAAAAATCTCCATGCAAAGAATTGTATATTTAGAATTCATCGTACAGCGTTGTAATTAACACTATATGAATTGGCAAAGTGTCCTCATTAATTGAGAGCCTCTTTAATGTGAGCAGTAATAATAGACGATCATTCTTTCATTTAAGGAATGTTTTTTTAGTTTTGTGTGAGTTATTGGTGTGTTTCATGAAATATGCCTACGTGACAGGTCTGTGTGATTTACGCACCAATAATTCACACTAAACTTAAAAACAATTCTTTATATTTACATTTTACATGTTACGCTGTCCTATATCGTTACATTTTTTAAAGTCTCTGTAGCCTCATTTTAACGTCACTTTAGCGCGAGTTTTCTCAGTGGATATTTCTATGCGTGATCAGTATACATGAAAATGATATTCAAATCAATTTCACAGTTGGCTTAGTAGAAAAACACAGCAAATGTACATCTTGTGTAAATGTTTTCTAATATACGCCAGAAAGCACAGAGATTATCGTCGTAATTATACAGATTCTTGACAAATCCATAAAATCATCAAATATCTACGTTATAGGAATACATATCTATCAATCCAGTGAACGGTATGCCTCTTTTTGTACTTCCTGCACTTATCCACTTCTTCGTGGATAATTTGAGTAAACCAAGAAAAAGTTATTTCCTATAATAATCAAATTGATTAAACAAATTTACGGAAGTTGTGACTTATTTGTTATGACTTTTTATTTCTGGTTATGACGAAGTGTAACGTAGATTTGGAGAACGTGTATCTTGACTTACGTTTCTTTGAAAATGATCTGTTTAGTCCTAGTTTAACTATGTTTTTTTAATTAATTAACTGTAGTTTAATGTCCAGTACAGTTGTGATTACTTAATTCTTATCTGTTATATTTTGTCACTTAGTTGTTATAACTTACTGGTTATTTGTTCATTCTCATTTGTTATTTCTTGTTACTTAATAGTTTTCTTGCAACTTCCAGTTTGCATAATGATTGAACACATGAACATTACTACTATTTTTTCTTCTCACTGAGATAAAATTCAAAGGCAAAATAATTTCTTTTCTGAAACTACACGTAGCCTACATCTTGTACGCCACGTTCTGGGGTTAAATGAACGTGTGATAACAAATGTAAAATAACAAGAATTAACAATTAAGTTAAAAGAACTAAGTCAAAACACCTAAGAAGTAAGTCAATGTCCCTCCAGGGCTTCCTTACAAATTTGATTTTTGTGCTTCGACTTATCAGATTATTTAATTTAAAAAAGGTCTTTGATTTTAATGTCCACAGTTTGACTTGGAAATAATTATGTTAACTTTTTTTCTTTTTTCTAAGTGGTCGTGTTCCACTACAGGACTCAATCAAATTGTGACAAAAAACAAAGAACTTGTTTTACAAAACAGAGGATTCACGTCCCCTTTGTGTTTAAGTAAAGACCATTATATCAATCTCCAGAACCAAATGAACATCTGAAGCCAGCATCACATCTCATCCAAACATATCTATATATCTTAGATATTGATTGAATAAAAGCTGAGTAATATTCATTTAGGAAACTGAGAAAATGCTTAATCTTTATAGAGCGTAATTTCTGCAAATTTTTCCTTCATATATTGACATTGACTAATCAATTAATTCAACAAGAGTAAAAGAACCATTTAATCTCGATACAGTAGAGATGAAATATACTGCGACCATTTTCTAACTGTCTTTAACAGTGGGTATACTAATTTAATTCTATGTTTCTCTTATAATCCTGAGTACGAAATCTTATTAGTAATTCAAGAGCATTACATTTATCTGTGTACAATAACCACCTCTGATGCTTTCAAGAGGTTTCTATTTGAATTGCTTATTTGTTGACTAAGCATGATTACTGTTCGTTTTAAAGTTTTCAATTCCACCATAGGTATGAATAAAGAAGTTATTGATGATCACATGATTTTTTTTATACAGTTACTGTTAATCATTTATAATGGTCCTATGATCATCAGTCATCAGTTTCTAAGCTTTGCAAGAAAATAATTTAGAAATATTTCAAGGTCTATAATTCTTCCCAAAACTTTTGCCTTCTTAATAATGCAACTTGCAATTTTAATATTTCTGTACTTTTTTGCTAAATTATATGTTTTACACCTTTCAAAAAATTATTAGCGATAGGCATATAGAAGAAAGTTTTCAAATTTTAGCTCATTTTTTAACAAGAATCCTGTGTATGAGAACACATGGTTTTTAGTGATAAATATAAAAATATAGATCATGCATTAGTTGTTATGTATTCTTCATCCGATAAAGGTGTGTATTTTTCGCATTAAGCAAGATCCTTTCGAAATATCACCTAGAGGCACACTTCATCAGTTTAGAAACAAGAACTTAAAGATTGAAACGTCTTGAACAAGCTACAGAAAATCTGGAAACACAGTCTGTTAAGAAGTTAGACTTCTTGAAAGATAAATTATTCGAAAAAGTGTAATATTGTTTGTCAACTGGATGTTTATGATGAACCTCTTTAGTAAATCTAATGTCAGTAAGCGTGCAGATAACTAATTAGAAATCTAGACATTTAAAACAAAAATATATACTTTAAAGGAATCGGCAATGATGATTCATATATGTGTAAGACCATTTGCACTTTTGAGGAATGTGTGTCTAATTAATAAGGTAATTTTTTTCTCATGCTATCTTTTATTTACATATATTTACATGCTTTTGTCATGTTTTGTTTACATAAACAGGGAAGTAACGAAATATATCTTATTCTTTCCTGATTGATGGATAGAAGAAATGATATTTCTCTTTTTATCACGTCAACTATTTTTTTGTATGTTTATTGAAAATGCTTTATAAAACAATTGGGATCACATGTTCATTCCACCCACTATTACCATGAAAAGAGATTTGATATATAATGTTTACCTTTGACATTTAGCAAATCACAAAAAATATTGAACATCGTTAACTTTTCTACCGACACCATTGAATGTTACACATTTAAAGAGACTGATACATCTTACCACGAATTGGGAGTTCAGATAATTTAAAGTGCTAGCACTATTACCATTAGTCACACTTTATTTTATGTGAATATGGAATTATTTTCCCCAATCTGAATTTACTTGCGTGCAGAAAAAAGTTAAGACTTTTGAATTTTATCTAAGAGTAATTAAATTTTACTGAACCTTATGTGCAATATGAAATCTAATTTCTAATCAAATGTAGAAAATAAATTTAGGTTACCATTTTGGATCCTTTTGAAACAAGGCAGAGTTACTTACAAACATAAACGCAATAGCCCTGCTTTACATAATAGTCTAGCAAACATCAAAACAATACATTAATATGTAAGTTACTTTATAAAATTTGATCTAATGCAATGTATATATAGATGTAGCCAAAAGAATCTCTGACTTGAAAGCATTAAACCTTCAAAGACTATGCAGAAATGAATCTACATCATCTGATCAGAAAAAAAAAAAAAAAAAAAAAAAAAAAAAAAAAAAAAAGGAAAAGAAACCCACACTTCATGAATCATTCTATCTCGACTAATTCCTCCTCTGGTTAATCACTTTCCATCTTAACACGTAGTGAGTTATGTTCGTTTTACTAAAAAGTTGTCATCGTGTGATTTGACTGTCAAGGAAAAAGGTTAAGTTACTACAAACTGAAATTATGTTTTAAGGTAGTACACAAAAGGTGACGTCATAATTACTTAACTTTGACCTCTAATTATGACGTCGACATTTATGACTCCTCATATATATTCCCAAATATGAGTTCTCTTCTATGAAGAATCACAAATTACACTTGCTTTAATAACAACGGTTAAATTGCTCGTAGATGTCATAAACCCATTGTCAATGTACATGTAGGCTCTCCAATATCAATTTTATGTTATTGTTTTCTTACAGAGTATGGGATGATGTCATATTTTATATATTTTAAAAGATAATTGATTATTGACACAATAGTACTTTTATTCTTTATTTTCTTGGTGAAGGTATGAAGAGATGGGGTAAAAAGGATTTCACGGATGTATTGTTCTACCATAGTTATTATTAAAGACCGTTTCTTATATCATGAAATTTTGATTAAATCCTTTTAACCTATTATAATAGTAAACGTTTTTTATTTGATTATTTTTTTTTATTTTTATTTCTTTCATTTTCAAAATGTTGATATCAACACAAGAGAATAAAACTGACCCGTTAATCAGATATGGCGGGGTTGTACACGAGGTGACGGATTGACTCAATCAATATATAAGAGAGTTTCTACAATCAGTTGAGCAAATTACACGTAAAAGTGTTTTCTGAAAAATAACTTTTTGAATTTGCTTGTTTGCAACATGAAGGAGTTATTTCTGTGCTTGCTTTTGGGGATAATTGGTATGTATGAGCTAATAAGAAACTAACTATCTGTTCAAAAAGTACATATATATTTTTTTATTATTTAACTTTGTAGCCCAGAACGAAGTTACTGGTTCTAATTTTTATTCCGCCAATGTTCTTATATGAAATTTCAAAAATGGCCACCATTTTAATAAAAACGGAAGAAATATGTAGTTCTTTTAAAAATTTTATTTTTCTCAATAACTGCTCAATCAAACTTTTGAAACTGTAAAGGATTGTTCATTGTATTCTGTAAAAGAATTGTTACCAAAAACTGGAATCTCCTGGAAACTGTTGCATAAAGTTTGTTGCATTGTCATTGAAAGACGGAATAACTAAGAACAGTTCGCTTTTTTGCTTAGGAGATAGGAATGTTGATATCACGTGGCAACTGTATATTGAAATTGTTCAGGTAAACTGTAAAACTTCTGTGCTAATTTGTGCGTACTTGCTGACGCTGCTTTCAACTCAAATTATGAGCATTGGGAACAGACTGGGAAACATTAATTTGCATCTATCTTTTTAATTCTAGTTCATTTTAAAATGTATTTAGAAGTTAGGTTTAATTAGAACTAACAATCTGTGCATGTAATTATATTTCATGTTTTTATTGTAACAGTTACATGTATATCTATATTGTAAACATCGTTATCGTATTCTATAAATTAGAAATCGTTTAGTTTAAGCTAAATGATATATTTTTTTAAAAATGACTTTGCATTTTCTGACTTCGACTTTCTTTCACCATTAAAACAGTGATAAATATGTAAGCCAAAGTAAATAACTCAACCTTGACTAATTTTACTCGTTTTAATTAAATAAATAGCGGTCATTTGTGAAGGGAAATACCGCATACTGTATTTTGACAGGCATTTAATTGATCAATTTAATAATTAATACTAGCAACAATTCTGTAAGGTTAGTTTCATTAAGGGCATATTTATCTTAAATTGTTGAAAATTTTGAGCTTGGAAAAGATAAGGTACAGAAAACAGAAAGTAGAGAATATGTAAACAAATCGTACATTGACTTTCTTGTACCTACAAATAAGGAGGGTTTTTTTTACCCCATCAGCTTAGAATTTGACCCAACTGATAAAAATTAATCCATTTTGCAAAACAAAGGTAATTGAAAGCATCTGAACAAGGTCAGCAACTTCCTCTCAGATTATAGTTCTTTCATTAAATCGTACATGTATCATATCATAAGAATATGCACTGATTTAATTTCAATCAAAATAAAAATTGATATTAGTCATGATCTTTTAGTACGTACATTTTATCTTATTCTTACAAATTAAAGATAGTTTTATTAATATTTCATTCTTTTTTCTAATTTCAGTTCAGCTGATAACAGGTAAGTTAGCATAGTTGACAGTGATTATATTCCCGGATGATATTTAAACATATTTCTTATATCTTTTAATTTTCTATCTTTAATTGGATATTTTGAGTACAAACATCACTGTGTAAAATATATTGAAAGTTTAATGAGAAACACTAGACAATACATCAAAAACGAAATGCATTCCGGAAAACGCTTTCTTTCACCTTGACTTTTATAACTGCAATATGAATAGGAAACCATAAATTATAATGATAGTAATTAAATAAAATTCATCATATGAAAAGAAAACCTGTTTTAATAAAAAAATATTTAAAAAGTAACCCTATTTTTTGAAAATGCAAATTTATACATATTTGTTCATCACGAATAGAACTAAAAAGAATTAAAAATAAGATTAGTGACGACAATGACTTTTCAAATATATAAATACACATATATTTGTATTTGCACAAATAGTTGTGGTCAATCCCCGTGATACCTATGTAAACAAACTACGAGAATGTATCAAACATACATATAATTATACCTTGTCACATAAATAAAGCGCTACACAAAGTACTGACTAGTTCATTAAAATAAATCTTGACGGAAATGTTACAGATGTGATGAAGGAGTCTCTCTTGTATATCATGATGCATAATGTTTTCCCAATTTCCATTAAATCAAATGTAAAATGCCATTAATGTGTCTTGCATTAAAATGTTATATCTCAAAAGGTTAAAAGATAGTTTTCTTAAAAGAATCATTAATTTTGAAAAAGTGAACCATGGTAGGTAATGCTAGGTACATTCGCTAGCTATATACATTCCCCTATTTTGTGTGTAGCATTCCCCGGGTATTATCCCACGTGGTCATCTAATCCATGGCAACAGCAAGGCTACTATAACCCGTGGTTTGATCCACAGACTTACATGATGGGCAAGTTTTATGAGGAAATATTCGACTAAGCTCGTAGAAAAGTATGTATAAGACTTCAATAACGTATTCAGACATTAGATCACTTTTGTGAAGTTCCATAATTTTTTAAATTAAAAGACTCACCGTCTTTTCATTTACATTATCCTGACTTTTATACGACCGAGTAATTTTCAAATTACATCAAGTGGTGAATATTTCTTTTTTTCTTTCTTTTTTTTTCTTTTTTTTCTTTTTTCTTTTTTTTGCTTTTTTATGGTAGATACATTCTATAATTGAATCAGATAGTTTTCTTAATCCTATTAGAATTTTTGATTTGCTAAAGTTTCCTCTGGAAAGGTTCATATAAATGTTTATATAAAAATCATTATGTACGTAGATATGAGATTATCTTAAGCTTAATAATGAAGTACCAACACGTTTGTGCACAAATAACACTGTGTATTTAATACTTTTTTTGTTTTAACTTAATATGTATAATTTAGAAAGTTTCCTTTAAACGTAACTCCTCTCTTCTTTGCAGGTTTCTCTCTGGCATCGTTTATGTGTTCTTCTTTATTGTTGTGAGAGCTGTAATTGTTATTTCAGATAAAACATAAAATTGATGTCATTTTGAAAACAAATAAATTTTATTTAAAGAGACTGCAAACAAAATGCTTCAGGAATGACGGAAAAGCTAACAGCATTTAATTGAACTACATTGTTTCCGGAGCATGACTTTTGTAAATAAAGATTCCATACTTTGTCAGAAAGATTAACCTTTTCACAGAAAACACTGTTTGAATGATCCAAAGAATATAAAAAAAATATCGAAGAAGCTTATAGAATTGATTCCATGCCATTGTTTCTGGTTCTTTAGCATGAGTGAATAAAAATTTCTCGTGAGCAACGTTGAGTTGTTAACATGGAGCATACTGATTCACTAAATACCATGCAAAGCTTCAAGGGTACTTAATGGTTAATATAGAAACTAATATAAAACTATAATTATACCAATTAACATGCACCGTTGAGACTTTCAGTACTTATTTTGCCAAATGTCAGAAGTTTGAATTGCATACAATGAAACTGAGTGTGAAAGACTGTCAAAGTATACAAATGATCTCAGTTGTGTAGTGAGAATCTGACTGAAGTAGTTTATTATAAAGATATTTTTGAAACGTTCATTATATAAATTTTTATGACCAAGTGAAAATTTTTCCATGATATCATAATGTTAATATAAATACAAAATATACCATGCCATGGACTGCAAATACGAAAACAAAAATCTCAGTCTCCACCCCTTCACTGATACATGGCCTTGGTCTCTGGGTTTCCTTCAAAATACTAGTTACAGTTTATCATTACTGCTTAAATAAAAGTCTTAGTTTGGACCTGGCTGAGGTCGAACTCACTACCTTCTGCATTCAAGGTCCACGCTTTACCAACTTAGTGGGGAGTGATGACCAGTCGACAGGGGATTCTTACTCCTGCTTGATCCCAACTCTAGAATTTCCAGGGACCAATGTTTTATGTCCTCTTCACAAAATTGTATTGTATATGGATTTTTCGAGATCGATCTCTGCTCGTTTTCTTAACCTTTTTTCATTGCACCTAATCCCACCTCTGATGCTTTTAGTGGACCATTTTTGCTTTGCTCCAAATTTGAATTGTTTCAATGGACTTTTGGGCTTAAAAACTGTTCGTTATCTTCATACTTTATTGATGAGGGTTTTTTTAAGGAGCTGGGGTGGGGGATTCGGATTTGTGTTGCAATAATTTTTTGCCAAAATGTCAAAGAGAATAAATCTACTGCATCTAAATCTGTGTTATTATGGGTCATCATTGTTGTCAGTTAACCCTATTTTAAACGATCTCAAGAACAATTCGAAAAATCTAGTACAATGTTGGCCCTGTCTAACTTTTCAATCACAGAGATTCATTACTACCCTCGTATAACAACACAAATCAGAACAAAAACGACCAGAAAACGAGGCGCCACCAAAATATCGCAGTATTTGCAGTCTGGCCAATCCAACCTTTATCTAGCTTAATTGAGATTAATTAATTTCCTTTAACACGACCTAGTTCGACAAATTGAGATTGATTCTAAAAACGTTTTTTTAATGATTTTTTTTTCTATGACCTGAAACAATATTGCCAAAATAGATCCAGTTATGCATCGATAACCATAATGCATGTTTAGCCTTGAAACAGTGAATTACCATAACGGAGCAAGTTTATATTGCTTGAAGAATTTCCTCCAAGGTATGGAACATTCTGGTGTATTCCTGAATGACAGGTTCAAATTTACACGTGTACACAGCCTTTATATACATTATATCTAAAATCAATTAAATAGAACAAAGTACATGATATTGCGATATCATTGCATGTGATCTTTTTTCATAATCTGTATGAAGTGAAAAACTTATTTGTATGTCAGTTTGGACAAATTGGAGCAATATGATTTTTTTTTTCTTGATAAAAATGGAAACACATACCTGTTTAAGTTTATGAATATTTGTGATAAAATTTCATTACAAGGGAAATTTATACATAAGGACCAAGTGAAAATAATCTACATAGACAATACCTCGACACAAAGTGCATGTACTCTAACTTTAATAAATAGCAAAGGAATTTTCTTTTTCTTTCCACTTGACATAATTCGTAATATACAAAGTTTTCAAAACCATTTCTTTAAACTATGATATTGAGAAACCAGATAAACAAAAATAATTTTAATGTACTGAAGAAAGTTTTATATTCAATGTTCAGCGAGTGAATAATTAATTGTAACCATAAGCAGAGAACAAATGATATTTTTTCTAAGATTAGTTTTATTAGGACCAGAAACAAACTTTGCAAAAATTTTCTCAGTCTACTTACTTTTACTTTTTCTTCTCATAGATCGTTAATCAATTCTTCTCTATTTTTTTTATTCATATTTAATCACATTTAAGATGATATGCAAACAAAATTAAGTTGAAAAAATAATTTTCCCTCTTTAATTCATCATTAGTGCTCTTTTAATTTATAAATAAGCTAAACTCTTTTAAAAAAAATCTGTTTCAAGTACAGAACTCTTTTTTCTACAATATCAAACTATTATATAATATAGAAGCCATTGAATTGTGTAGAGATTATACACAAGGATAGACCTTTTACAAAAAAAATAGAAATAAGTAATGAAGAATCTACATTTTTGCCAATGAACTCATTGATGTATATTTTTATAATAGTTTGCATAAATTTAAAAGGGAAAAGTTTATGTTTTAACCATTGCAATGTTGGTATCTACTCGACAGATGGACGAGGAAAGCGTTTTCAAAATCTGCTGGAGTTTTGAGGAATAATTTATTTTTGCTCACAACTTCATACATGTATAAATGCCTGTAGCATTTCAAAGCTTACAGTGTATCGGTTGAGTCCAAGTCATTTTTATTTTAAAAATAACTATAAATAACACTAGCCTTAGCCATAAATTTATTTAACAATATTAATTCATATATTTGATGTCAAATTTGAAACTGTTTCACATATAATCTTTAAAAAATATACATATATGTAGTTTTAAAAATCTTTTTATACACTTGATTTTATAGACTTGATTAACATTTACAACATTGTTCTACTTAAAATTTCTTTGAAATTACATGAATCAAAAGATGCTAAATTCTGTCGTTTATAATTTCTATGCAATACTTTTATACCAGTTCTTTCAACAATCTGTTGAAATGTCATTCGGTGAAAATTATGCTTCCTGTTTTATGGTTTCCTACGAAGCAAAATTTGAACGTAAAGAAAATCTTCCTGTGGATTTAAATTCGGTAATTTAGATACATCAACAAGGTTTTATCTATTTGCAATACATAAGCATCTGTCAGTGAAATCAGAAGATATCGCAGAGTCTGCAACATCCTTTTCATCCTTAGATGGAAAGCAAGTAACATAACCGTATGATAATCAGGATGACTTCATCTTGTCCACGGTCAAATACCCATGTTTGCAAACTCAGTCTGTTGTTGTGTCGAATTCTAAGTGACATGTTTCAAACCAATTGTAAGACCATTGCTTTCATACAGATTTGGCCAAAGGACAACTTCATTTACTTGATAAATATTGAAGAGTACAGGAATATGACTGGTCGATGCCTGCATATCGTATTCTTTTTCTTGTATCTTTAAATGGATTGTTAAATTAATCACTATATTCGTTTTCTTAACATTTTTTTGGGAATAAACTTGAAATATTATCAAATCCCGTTACAAAATGTACAATGAAGGATTAAAATTATTAATCACAAGAGTTGCCAATCTCAAACATGTGAAAAGATGGCCAGGACCCTCTTTTGAATGTCAAATATCTTGTGATTGATAATCAGCCATAAAAAGAAACAAAATATTCTTAGACAATACATGAACAGAAAGATTATTGCTAAATCTAAAAACGAAAGAAAATGGGTGAACAAGTTAGAAAAAGGTCTATGGATTGACAAATAATACGTTAAAAAATAAATTTCAAATAATTTTTTCTTTGATACTTAAACATTACATTCGTGTATATTTTATATGAAATCTCAACAATTTTCAAAAATCTCACAGGTATTAAAATTGTTTGTCTTTCAAATAGCATGCACACATCAAAGAGGGCAAAAATGATCAGTTCTCCATACTATAGCGCAATTTTTCTATATATTGTGGTCTTCACTCCATTTTTGCAAGTATATTTTAAATTATACATTTTTGCTTAACAAAATCATGCAGCACGGACCCACTCTATTTTAAAAATACAATTCCGTATCTTTCCGAGATTTTAAGAGTCATATCACAAACAAGATTTTCTGTAGCTATTTGCTTTGAGTTGCGTGGTGTTGTGTTAGCATGTCAGTCTTAAGTCTACAGGCTTGCTAAAGCTTGTTTTCAAATCCCAAGAAAAGTTTTGTTTGTCATCAATGAAATATATGGAGATAACGAACAGTATTCAAGACCAAAAAGCCCATTAAACAATACAAATTTTGAAGCAGAGCAAACACGGACCTCTAAGACATCAGAGGTGGAATCCGGCGCCATGGAAGAGTGAGCATCCCCTGCCGACCGTTCACACCCACCGTGTGTTCCTTGTCATGATCGGGAAATCAAGAAAAATCCGTCGACAATTCAGTATGTAATTAATGGTCTAACAATTAGTGTGAAAAACGTCAGTCAGCATTTGACTTAATGGTAAATTGTATTTGCTGACAAGGTCATTGTATCAACCATAGAACTTACGAAATGACGACTTTAAACGAGACTGATGATATTCTTGTTTCATCAGCTTGTTTGTCAATAACTTACCTCGTTTTAGAAATTGTTCATACGTAGAGCATGCTCTTGCGTATCGAATCAACTGAGAGATATAAACCCTGTATGCAGTTGATGAAGGTATATTAATGCATAAGTAAGGGAAGTTGACGATTGAAAAGTTAAAGTCATCACATTTATCATAAAGCTTGGTTGTTAGATTACCATTAACTTCTTTTTCAAGTAAAATATACAAATATGAAACAGACGTGTCAGACTCTGTGGTATCATTTATTTAAGCTCACCGGGATATATCGTATCGACATAAGAATGGAAATAACCATTGTTAATTGAGAATACGTCGTCGATATAT